TGGTAATTCGCTAAGGATGACGGAACAGGAATATATTTCGTCTTGTTACTTTACGACCGAGGAAACTTGGACCCGTTACATAAGTTACTTTGCCCACGCTTTACTATATTTACCGGACTTCGATACTTTCGTTTGGGACTGCCTTCAGGAACCCAAGCCAATTCTCAGGTATGCTTTAGATAAATGTCTAAATTTGTGAATAAACGAGGTCTGGGAAAATTTGGAGCTATACCACATGAAGAATAATACCGCAGAAAACAACTACTAGATTAAAGTTTTTGTCACCGTAAAAAGCTGTTCTTCGTTTTTGAATTATGTCAGTTCAACTAGTCTCGATATTGCTTTGGAAATATCATCTAGTGAAAGAAGAAGAGTTGTTCTATTGATGGAAAGTGTCCAAATTTCTCCTTGCGGCTTTATTTGCGAACGCAAGGAGAGTTGATGTTAGCTGAATTTCGGGTTGAAAATACTGCCATCTTGAGACTCCGACCACGAAAACCGATATTCTTACCTTTCTCGAAAATAAAAGCCTTTTTGCGAGAACAACTTACATCAGATTACTTATCTATCTAAAAGCTATTTATGGACAAAAAATGAAGGAAATCGATTTTTCAACTTTTGCCACTCAATGGTCGATTTTTCCTGACCGTCGCTCTTATAATGCACAATGCTTATAATATTAAGAGACCTTCAGACAGGATTTATGTATACAATATATAATTATAATTAATTCTAAAGTAATCTGTAAGAACGTAGCGTGTAGCCCTCCTCGATGTTGTCATAGTAACGGTTTAAGCTTTCTTTCTCTTGCTTGCAGCTGCGTTGACTTTGTGGTAACAGTCAGGATTGGCGTCATACTGACGCGTGCCGCTTCACTTACAATTAATCGTTACAAAGGAATCGTCACGCACTGGCGATGAGAGGTCTAACCTAGCTTATTTATCATTTAAACCTGATCATTTACGTCAAATTGAAACCTAAAAAAAAAACTTATAATAACTGTCTTTTAATAATTTACAGTATCGTTATGCAAATAAGACCAAAATGGCTGCACCACACTGAGTTGTGTATTCATTGATATTACGGTAAACTCTTCAGTTCTTGATGATTCAATGTGGGCAGTCATTTCACACGCCCTAGATCACTATATACCGCTCTAACATTAAAACAACAAACTGCTTTATTAACATGCTTCTCCCAGTACAACTAAGTCTTCTCTGGACGAATGGCACGAATTCGCCCTCAAAATGATAAATTCAGGGCCAAAGCGCAGGGTAAGCGAACTGCCGATTCCCCGGGCTGCAATCACGATCGCCAACACTGAAGTAAACATTATTGCAGCCCAGAGAAGCCACAGTTCATTCGAAGACTAAATTTCATGATGAAATAAGGCGAAATAGCTTATTTATCCATCAGTGATTTTATGTTACTTACCTAACAACGTCACAGTTATGGCAAATTCTTTACTTCGTACTCTCCAAGGCTCGTTGAATAGATTTGAATGATTCATTGTCTCATGAAACCTCACTATATTATTTTAAATGCAAAAATTAAACTAAAAACTTCAAGAAGCCAGTTTGGGCTTAATTAAACCCGTCTAGCTGTTTACCAACGACATTAAGTAACAGCAAGTTGGTGAATATATTGACTTCCGCTTGCTGCCGTGCACGTATACAGACAAGTTTTGGGCTAGTTGCCAGAGGTTAGTGACTATGGGTCAAAGCTTACGTCAAGTAACGCAAGACAGAAAGATTTCCCGGATGAATAATCTTTCAAATCCTTATTCTGGCGATACTTACGGCAACGGGAACGTCAAAAAACGCAATAGATTTTATGAGCAAAACAACGACTCAGCACTTGCATCACGCTTTTTTGTACATTTCTTTGCCGTCCCTGTGCACAACTACGACGACTTGAAATGATTAAATTTTTAGTTGACTTGAGAACAGGAAATGCAAGGTGATAAACTACAATCCCTCTCTGATCTCGGACGCAGGCCCCTCTCTTTAGTTCCAACCATCAAGCAATGCAACTGGCTGAGTTGGTATAACGGCGGAAAAAATTCAAAGAAAGTGAAGTCAATTTTCACCGACATTTTCATTGGCTTCGCCCGTTGTCGGATCGTAAGGTACCTAATTATCCACCAATACAACTTCGTCCCCAGGGTTCTCCCTCTTTTTCGAGGCAAGAGAAAGAACCCCCTGCTGGGAAAGATGCTCAACAAAAAAGCCCATTGGTCCATTCGTTCGATGAGCCTTTGACTAACCCAAAAAGTTGTTTACAAACTGATCAGTACCCTAGGTTCTTGGGCATTGCCCGTCGACCCCTCCCAGTCACCTAACGTCTTGCCTCAAGTAAGAAGTCAGTTGACTACTTTCAACTGGTATTCCATTCATGAACTTAGTTGCTATGAACATTGATACTTTTGCGGAACGGTTACTTCAATGTAATTCCTTGTTGAGACCGCTTTTTACGTGTTGCATTGTCTTCGTCTGAATTTTTCGCCCCGTGTGAGGAATCGAGATTCCGGATTCCCGGGAATAGAAAGAAAATTTTTTGCTTTGAATTCTTAGGCGTTGGAATCCGGAATACAGCTCAAGGAATCCAGATTCCAATCGTCAGTGGGATCCAGATTCCTTAAGTTGTATCCCGAATTGTTCCACTTACAAACAATGTGGAGTAAGCGACCCAGCTCTCCAATGGTTTCATTCTCACTTATTAAATAGGAGGCAGCGTGTGCGAATTCAAACGTATGTACATCTTCTCTTTTACCCATCAATCAAGGTATAGGTATCCCCCAAGGGACCATTATCGGACCTATACTCTTTCTTCTCTTCATTAATGGCATTCCATTACATATCTAGAATTCTAACACCGATATTTCTGCTGACGATGCTACGTTAACATCTTGCTCTAGGTGGAATAACATCCCTTTAGTAAACGAACAATAGCATTCAAGGGGACTACTTAATTAAAGAACAATCAGTGTAGGGCTGGATATGAGCAAAATGGTAATGAATAAAAAAGCGCTGAAACGAAATCTCTGGTCTTTATCTGTGCTATGATAGGTAAGACTAAGGCAACGAGGTAAATCGTCCCAACAAGAGACTGGCCTTGTGTAGTAGTGCAGTAGTAGATGGTGCTGTTATTATAATCAAGAGGAATGAAAGTGCTTGTATAAAAACTCGGAAGGCATTGAACTGTACCGTATATCCAAGCAAAGGCGATCAACCAGCCTGGCCTGAGTTACCATTTTTATAATCATTCCCAAATAAAACCAAAATAGCAATGAGCTTTTAAGTATTTGACCTCTGTTTGAATTAAGTTTTGACAGTTTTTCGTAAATTGAAACATATCGCTATCAAAACAAAAAATGGCTAAAAATGCGTGATTTGGCCTTTTTTTGTTTCTTTTATAACATAACTTTTAGTTTTGCTTTTATGTTAATACAGAAATTGTTTCTTCTACACCTCTCCTATTTATTCCATACTTTAATAACCCCCAGGNGGTTGGACCTTGGAGGGCGGGGGGCGCGGGGGAGGGGGTTGCAGCCCGGAAAAAAGGCTTTGTTAAGTATCTATCTCCCGGACTTTACCATGGGAGCAGAGGTTTCTTTCTGGTACTGTCAGTCACTTAGTTTGTTTTTTCACACACCTGAGCAAACTACGTGACTGACAGGCAAAGCGTGCGACTTTGTAATGCTAAATACCGTGCCAGAAAAAACCTCTGCTCGCAAGGTTTCCCGACATACTTGAGTAGTAATGGATTAGAAATGATTTCTCGCTTTCGTTAAAGGGGTTACGTTAGGGGGTAATATTATTATTATTATTATTTTGTTCTTTTAAAAAGGCTTTATTTAGTGCTTTTACCCGTACATAAAATTCTCCTGTACGGTTATGAGGAAGATAAATTAAAAAAAAACAAAGAAATTTAACCAGGAAGAACGAAACGTAATATATTTTTAGTAATTTAGAGATATTTAATTTTGATTCATGCGAAGGCACGTTTTAGATTTTTAAAAAATAGCAAATAGTGTGACATAGCCTCTTTTAAAAAAAAAAATGAAAGTTGGCAAATTAAAATAAATATTCGCCCTGTCATTGGTTACTCCGGCTCCGGTTCATTTAATATGAATAACATTTGAATACCTTAAATTAAGGGGAGAGGTTTTAAAGTCGATGACAAAAAATGCGAACCAGGTTGCAAAGTTCACAGTTCAATTTCAATTTCTAAAATTCGGCCTTGGCGACATATACGTCCGTTATACAGAATGATCAAAGGAATGGTATCGCGTTCATTCCCATGCCCTGGTATACATTAGCTTTTCCCCTTATTATTTCTGAGCGCTAAAGTGCCAATAGCAGAATCGAAAATGTTTCTACAATTGTTCTTCTTGTTGCCTTTAATCATTTACTTGGTCGGTTCGATTGTTTCTCCTTTTAAACAGAGTGCAAGAAAATATTTACAGGCAGGGAGGAAAACCTACAGTAACGTCCTTAATAACCCGATACCGTTACCTGGTTAGCTCAGTTTGGAGAGCGCCGGTCTGCCGAGCTGAAGATCGCGGGTTCAAACCCCAACCGGACCAACACTCAGGGTCTTTAACGTGCTGCCTTTGTAATGACATCTGCAAATGGTTAAACTTTCTAGTCTTTTCGGATAAGGACGAAAAACCTTAGGTCTCGTCTCACAGCACTTTCACTGATCTGTTCATGTGGGACGTAAAAGAACCCAGACCACTATTCGAAAAGAGTAGGGGACGTAGACCCCGGTGGTAGGGACGGCATTTTGCATGGGACATGTGTGTCCCGTTCCTCCCCATTCCCTCTGGGCAGGCCTGTGTTCAGAAAAGCTGGTAAAAGTAAATAAAACTAAAAAAAACTCATGCCATGCATGATGCAGTGATTAACAGATCCAGACCCTCCTAACTCTGCAAGTTCGTTTACGAATGCAATTTTTATATTTATTTACCGATGTTTAATCGGACAACAGAAAGTGAATTAACTTCCAGCTCCTCGACTTCCTTGTCTTATTTGGTTACACAGGCGGACCTTGAAGACAACAACCATGTTTCTCCCCTTTTCGACGATAATCTCTCCCTTCTTTCCAAGGAACCTACTTTTCATGGAACGACAGGACTTGCCGCAGACGTTGAAGAAGTAAATAAAAGGATTACAGACCGAGTTTGATATGCCCAGTCCATAGGTTATGAGGCGCACCGGATCCTTAACGTTCGGTAATTTCCTGAGATGCTGCATCAGTAGCCCAAAGTAGAGAGCGAAAGGCAACCAGCAGACGACAAAGCAGATGACAACCATTACCAACATGCGAAGAACCCTTCTTCTGGACTTTTCCATCAACTTGGCATTTGTGATTTTGGGACTGGATATGTCACCTGCAGACGCAGCAAGTCTACGACTCCTGGTTGATATCACTTTTATAATTTTGCGATATGATATAGTTAAGACTGCTAAAGGTATCACGAACCCAAGTAAGACTGAGGCAACGAGATAAATTGTTCCTTCAAGAGACTGGCCTTTCGTAGTGCTGCAGTAGTAGATGGCACTGTTATTATTAAGAGGAATGATTTCGCTTGTATGAAAAATTGGAAGGCATTGAACTGTACCGTATACCCAAGCAAAGACGATCAACCAGGCTGGCCGGAGATACCAAGGTCTATTGATGCACGTTAATTCCTGCTTCACAAATGTCATGTACCGATCAATACTTATTGCTGTCATCAGGCTGACTGAGATTATTGGATTGAGGTACTGCGGAAAAGAAATAGATTACAGAATACTGAATAATTATGTAGTTTCTCATAGTTTTTATATAGAGATATATGGTTATAATTTGGGGAGATACGAGGAGCCATATTGCAGAGAAATGTCATACAGACATTTATATGTTTCGTATAGCCCTCAAATTAAAATTACACTCACATGTATTCGCAAGCGGAAAAGAATCCGGATTCTTTGGAATAATTGTTTACACTTCAAATTTGAATATTGCAGTTGGAGTACATTAAGGTTTTTTTCTCTAAAGAATTCGGTTTCAAATTCTCTACATAATTAAGCAATTAATCCGGGACGTTTTCACCCATCCATCTATCAATCGATTTGCTCCGTAGCCTCCTTTTGTCGTCACCTGCGTAGTACATACACACCTGCATACACCGCACAAACCCTAAATCATGGCGCTCTTGGACTATTTTGCTGCTGCGAGAACAAGTTCAAGCCCCGTGCAAACGGACTCAACATTGTTGGCCAGCAACTCCCAATGTTGGGAGTAATTGGCCAACGATGTTGAGTCCGTTTTCACGTAGCTTAAAGTCTGGCCGGTTTCAAATGTTGGGAGTTCTTGACCAACAATGTTGCGTACGTTTGCACGGGGCTTTAGTATATCTGTCTTCATTGAAAGATTTTAAAAATTTATTTGGCCTGAAAAAATTGTTTTTACGCCTATTAATGCACCTAGGTCCTGTGAAATTGCCACCTGAATCTACTTAAAGCCCAGTTCAAAGGGACACATCATTGTTGGCCAACCACTCCCAACATTGTTGGATGCTGAGTCCGTTTGCACACCTTGTTGCATATTGTTCGCGGCTTGTTGTTTGGAGTTGTTGCGCAAAGTTTGAGACCGGTCAAACTTTAGGGTAAACAATGTTGGGAGTTGTTGCATCGGTTTGCACGAAGCTTAACATTAGAATAAATATTTTACCTGCATAAATCGCGCTAACTTGCAGAAACCATGATCTCTGCTGCTCACATCTTTGGGGTAGTAAAAATTTGTGAAGATGGTTAGGGGAATGCACAGCAAACACACCATCAGATCGGAGACGGCCAAGTTAAGGAGAAAAAGCTGAACAGATGTTTTCTGACCTTGCTGGCGCAAGTTTGAGATAACTGCTACCACGATTCCATTGCCAAGAAGTCCAATGATCAAGATTAACCCTGTTGAAACATTAAGTTGCATTTGCATTTATTATTATCTTTTTTTTTAAGGAAACGTGTTGTCTCCCAAGGCGTATTTGGGATTGAACTTGCGGATATGATTTGGGCGGTATTATCAAGTTTTCGTGTTAATTTTTACAAAGTTTATCGTGCCATTTATTGTTAGGTTAACTGGTAATTTAAAGCCCCGTGCACAAAAGGTCATATAAAATGACGATTAATCTCAAGAATCTTACATTTTAATAATTTTTAAAAATTATTCGCTAATTTAAATTTGTTCAAGTACACCGAAATATTCACAAAACCGCTAACAAGAGCGCCTCGATACATACTAATCAAATCCTTCTTTCTAGAAATCGGCTGAAGCTGTCGCCATGATCTTTCATGGTTCCAGTTTCTTTTTAATTATTAACGACGTCATTATTACGTCAATTCCATTGTTTAAGATTATCAATGTGTTAAACCACTTCATGATTTTATCGGCAAGTTCCTATTTCAGCACAATGCTTTTTGCTTTATAGCTATTTTGTTTTTTGTATTTGTATTTTATTTTTACTCCATCCTATAGATAATACATTAGTTGTACAATATCAGTTAGTACAAGGTTGATTAAACTACACGTACATAATAAAAAAAAATTAGAATGGAGAATGGCACATTATAGAAACTAATTATGGCCCTGTAACAAGAGTGACTTTATTCTAATATAGCTTTGTTATTCATTAAAACACAAACACGCACGTACGCACACAAGTCAATATTGAGCAAGATAATATTTTTTAAGTGCCTTTTTGAACAGGATTTTCGACGATCGGCGAATAGAAAGGGGGAGATCGTTCCTTTCTTTGACATATTCTAATAAAGACACCAACAGGAACTCTTACACGAGAAACTATTATTATTAAGTTATTTAAACGCACAAAAAAGGAAACAAATAACACAAAAATAGCCAGCTTCAAAAGACGCGGCCATCATCATCGCTGACCGCTGACCGACACCCATTTTGGGGAAAGAATGGTACGTGAACTACCGTAAATTTCCGAAAATAAGCCCCGGGGCTTACATTTTTCAAAGGCCCTTTTTGAGGGGCTTATTTTTGGAGAGGCTTATATTCGGAGGGGCTTATCTACGGGGGGAAATTTACTTTTCAAAATCGATTGGGCTAGCCTTACAGTTAGAACTAAACTTGCCTTTCTTGCTTTGTTTTACTTTGTATTTGAGAGCAATTTTCCAAGTACAAGCCCCCGGGGGGCTTATATTTGGAGGGGCGATTTAAAGGAGGGCTCTTTGCGTTACCGGTTAGGGTGCTTATATTTGGAGGGGCTTATACATGGAGGGGCTTATTTTCGGAATTTTACGGTATATGGGTTCAGCCATGAGAAAACATGGCCTTATAATGATGTCACATTTCGTCATTGTGTCAATCAATTATACCGAGATGTTAAGTTAAGCTAAAAAAAAAACACTACAAAAACCGTGTTCGAACAATCTTGCTCAACGTCGGATCCAAAAAGATCGTGATCAGTCAAAATGTATAAAATTGAAGACGTTACAGTCAAGAAGACTTTTGCAGGGACTGATCGAACAACGTGAAATAGAGTTAAGTTGCGATATTTCGACTGGCCAGTACCAGTCTTCGTCAGGTTTATTGAGATATCACGAATTTACAGAAATATATGTGAAGTAAAATAATGACCGGAAATTACATAATATGACGTGGTATGTTCTGGCAACTCAAAAAGACAAGATAACAAAAAAAAAAAAGATATACTATATACAGTTACAGTTCATCAAGTTTATTGATGCCCAGAGGCTCAATTGTCTTAGCTTTATGGATAAGGTGGTCTTCACGTGCTTTCCTGAAAGAATCAAGCCCATTTTTAAGTTTTTCAATAGGAATCAAAAGCATATGATTGTCGGAATTATTACTGGTAAGAAATTGTTCTGAAACTGCAGTATGGATGTAATTACCATTATTAAAACGGTCTTTAAGGCGACGTTTAGTTTAGTATACCGAGATGTTGACAATGATAGACAATTCTGTGTTAAGCTTGTGGCCGCATCTACAGGAGCGGTTTTAAAATTTAAGAGGAGGGCCTTAAAGGGCCCCACTGATGTTAGGACGCCGCGCCTATAAATATCTGGGCTCCTGCTGGGCTCCATTACCAGCCGCTGTTCGGGATATGGGCCTGCGCTCCTCAAGCGAAAATACTCTCTTCTCGGGGAAGAACAAGACCAGAGCCGAGAGAGCAAAGGAAATCGAGTCTAATAAATGCCCAGCCTGAATAGGGTTAATTAATTCCAAAATAGATTTGTTTAGTCTGTTGTAGATATATTATTCTCGACAAGATTTCTTTGGTAAATCGCAATTATTTTGGATTCTCGAAATTTGCCCCTCTTCTTTTCACTAATAAATGTATCCCTGGGCACTATTAATAGAACATTCCGATTATAACAAGTCATCAGAATTAAGATCAGACATGACACAAAAGCTTCAGACGAGTGTCTAAGGTAGATTATTAACGTTTAGCCTAAATAGTTGAAAGTATATAGTTTGTAAATTAAAGCTTTCTTTTTACCGGGGCCTAGCCGAAGGCTGGCACCGGTCATAAAATGCAACGCGTTTCTGTGTCTTCAAAGTTACATTGTTAGGGATATATCGCTGACTGAGATATATCACTGGCTCGAAACTTTCATTGAAATCTTATCCGCCATTTTGAAAAGCACGAGTCGAAGAGTCAAGAGAAAGATTATAGCTTTTTGGACGACACGTTTCCCAGCCTTTACGATGTACTAGTTTATGAGCAAAAACTTGAGAGTGAATATTTGGAGAGACAAATTTACGAGCGATCGCTTAAGATTGAACCTTCCACCGTGAAACTTATCGAGAAAATAAGCGACTTATCGAAGGTATCTACATTGAGTGAACCTTCCATCATGAAATTTATCAAGAATCAATGCGAACACTTATCAAAGCTAACTTTATATCATTTTAAAAAACGTGCTACAAGGCGATCTAGACGTGCTCGTGAACCGAGCAGAATTCCACTGCTATTTGTAAGAGGTCTCAATAACAAGAATAGCATGTTGAAGAAATTTGTCTTGAAAAAGATTTCAACGATTCACATACCGAAGTCTTCAAAGCTCCATCGCTATGTTAATAAGATGAGAAAACTTTATCATGCACGATATAAATGTAATAACAAACGGGATCCAAAGATAATTAACTTCAATAAAATGGCTATATCCAAGAAAGCTTATTTGTTGTCTTTCTATGCTAGCAGGCAGTATCACAGGATAATGAAACTAAAATGTAAAGCACGTCGATATTTATCATTGTTTTCTTGCAACTGTGTGAGTCATATGACCAATTATGTGAACTTCAAACTAAGTAAAGATGTTGAGAAGAATCCAGGGCCTACTCAATACAACACTGATCATCATGAAGTAATAATTTATTAGACCTTTTATGCAAAATCACAGCTCAACAATGCGGTTGATCTCTCCTATTTCCTCTGAGAATTTGATGCAGTCAAGATTAGGTGAACTTGGTTTACAATCAATAGATGTTGGTGGTGCAGGTGATTGACAAAAGTGGCCCCGGTAAAATTCACGAAGTGATTCTTGTTTTTTTGTAGAAGTTGGGATGTACATTTCTGAAAAGGATTTCTATGGTTTCGTTACTTTAAAAAAAAAGAAAAACTACCTCCACTACTTGCTTTATATTTATGAACTTCCAACGACCGTGTACTGTGCATTATACCCATTATACCTAATGATTTAACAAATGATGCTAAAGTGATTCTAATTCATTCTGCAAAACCTATGGTAACGCTCCATTTCAATTTTTTTCCTCCTAAAAAATGCAGAAAACTGTATTTTCAGTAGTTTGTAAACATTAAGATCGCTCTTCATTTCGTCAACAAGATTTCGACAAAAACTAGGCCAAAAAGACGGAAATGCATTTGCCAGCTCCAGCAATAAAGTAAAGCGGTACCCAATGCAATGAGTCCAGTCGCTTCATTTAATAACTTAATTTCATCGTAATTAATGAAAACATTTTAGAATTTTAACGCTTCTATCAAAAGGTTCCAAACAATCTATTTAGTAAAGGCGAGAACATTTGGTTTAATACCCATATAATGTACATATGTCACTTACCTAACAATGTCACGGCTATAACGAACTCCTTACTTCGAACGTTCCATGGTTCACTGAATAGATGGCTTCCTTTCGTATTATTCATTGTCTCATGAAACTTCGCTTGAAGATTTTTTTATACGCTAAATTAAACTTAGGACGTGAAAGTATCGGTTTCCACTTAAAGCTCTTCGACCAGTGTCTGTCAGTGAAATGACCCTGCGTCGTTTTGCTCAAAACGTTTTAAGGAACAACAAATTGAAATCGACTTCCTCAGCTGGTTCGACGTTATTTTTAGACGGAACAATTTCAACAGAACGCGTTTTAGGTTGTCTGTCTGAGGTTTAAATTAAAAGTATCCACGGGTCAATATAGTCAATTGTTACTGCTGCACGGTTCAGGGGCTCCCAACGACAATTTGTGGGCAATATGTGGTCGGAAGACGATTTGAGATCTAGAATTTTCTGAACATTTGTCGTAAAAGTTCTTATTTCCCTGCCTCTCCTAGAATTTTGCGTAACTGTTTGCGGTATTACGGTATTGGGTTATTTTTGGTGCGGTGTGGCGGTGATTTTTTTTTTTCAAAGTATGCGGTAAGTTTAAATTTCATGTCGCGGTAGTCGGTGAAAAAATCGTTGTGTCGCGGTGATCTGCTTCTTTTTCATGACAAGAGGGTACAAATCCTAAAAGGTCTCCCTATCTAGCCTGCGTGACCTGCGTGTCTTTAAAGTTGCACATTCGGGGATCGTAATTGGCAAACAGTCCAGACAAATCGTTTGCCTTGTGATTTCAGTTAAAGGAACTGTGTCACGAAATTCAGCCAAATTAAGAAATTACAAAATGCCCGTTAAATTAAGAGAAACATAGAAATAACCGCTTAAAACTTTAAAGGACGGTTTAAATAACATAACAGAAACAACAGATGCCACCGGCTGGGCAAAACTGAAGAAGATTGAAACGGATTGAAATAAGGGTTTTTGAAAACTCTTCAGCCTAACAGTTTTTCAAAGTTGATCTCTGCTGTTTGTAACTTGAAAAATAATGCTCAGGAGACATATTTGTTTGTCTCGAATCTCTGCTTGTGTCATTCACAAGTAACTTCTTTGCTTACCTTAACTTCCATAGCGATTGAGGGCGAGTAACTGGCAAAATTAAACAAAATGAACTGGACTGCCGTGACACAGCCCCTTTAATACTTGATATGATTAACGACATTAACTTTTTTATCCAGTTATACGTAAACATGTCGCATTATTTATGACCTCATGGACCTTGTCGAAATAGTCGGCTTGGTTAACCTCCTTACCAACCTTATCGTCACTTTCGTGCCCCTCGCGAAACAATGGCGAGCGATCCAGAAGGAGGTCAACTGAGTGATCAGTCAGATATTCCAGCAAATAGTCAGTGAGATCGTTATAAACTGCGTAGTGTCGAAAGATAAGCTATGAAGATGGTGTGGTCTAAAAATTACCACTCGTTCTTCTCGTTTTGCATGCAGGAATATAGAATATACTAGTCTTCGTGTGTGCTTAGCCTGCGTAGCATGGCGGTTTTGTATGGTTTTGTCGGGAGCACGACTGAGCGGCGAAGCAGTTCCCATCCCAGTCTCTTGGCCCGCGCCCAATCAAAACCGCCATGCTACGCATGCTAGTTAGGCTTGGATAAATTCTGCTCGTAAATTGGCTTATTCTCATGCCGGCAGTGCTCGTAAAAATCTCTTATTCTGCTCAAAATTCTCCTTGGACACCCTTATTCTGCTCGACTCTGCTCGGTATCCGAAAAAAGTTTCGGCCCCTCGGGCCGTAATTATTTTCGCAAATATAGAAGGGAAACTGGGCGTAACCCCTTAAAACTAATTAGATATTGTAGCTATTTAATAACCGAATTAATCACAAGGTATTTTCCATTTGTTTTTTATTTAGTTTTAAATTTTTCTTACAACTCTCATGCATATCATTAAGGCCGCTGACTTATACTGCTCAAATTCTGCTCGAAAAAGCCTTATTCTGCCGGCAGAATGCTCGCTTCAACAATCGCATAAGCCTAAGGCTAGTGTGTGCTGTGTGCTGTTTGAATCCTAAAGGCAGCCCTGGTCGACGTCTTGAAACCCTCAACACAGAACCGAGTTAAATGTGAACTTGAAAAAGCCTCTTAAGAGTCAACTGTTTTCTGTCCGTTTATGATCCAGTTCAGTAATATATAAAGTTCAGTATGAAAGTAATACTAGAAAACTCATGTTGTATCATTTACGTAAACGTATACATGTCATGAACAAAATTAAACGAGTGCCGGATTATCTTATGTTTACCGTACGCTTGACATCCAAGCACCTTGATTTTGAAACACTGACATAAAAGTATTATTTTTATTTGAAAGGAGGATTTGTAGTATTAGCAACGTCAACTTTTTCCCATTTGTAGCTGCAGTTTCCGTATTGGGGTAAATTGTGATGCGGTATTGCGGTATTCTCGCGCTACCATGTGCGGTAAATTGCGGTATTCGTACTCACTTATGCCCCCGTCATATTGACTTCCGCTTGCTGCACGTACGTTATTTTGAAACGGACAAGTTTTGGGCTAGTTGCCAGAGGTTAGTGACTATGGGGCAAAGCTTACGTCAAGTATATAACGCAAGACAGAATGATTTCCCGGATGAATACTTTTTCAAATCTTTATTCTGGTGATACTTATAGCAACAAAAAACGTCAAAAAACGCAACAGATTTTATGAGCAAAACAACAACTCAGCACTTGCATCACGCTTTTTTTGTACATTTCTTTGCCGTCCCTGCACAACTACGACGACTTGAAATGACCAAACTTTTTAGTTGATTTGAGAACGGGAAATGCAAGGCCGGATAAACTACTATCCCTCTCTGATCTCGAACGCAGTCCCCTCTCTTCAGTTCCAACCATCAAGTAACTTGCTGACTTGGTATAATGGCGAAAAAAATTCAAAGAACGTGAAGTCAATTTTCACCGACATTTTCATTGGCTTCGCCCGTTGTCGGATCGTAAGGTACCTAATTATCCACCAATACAACTTCGTCCCCAGGGTTCTCCCTCTTTTTCGAAGCAAGAGAAAGAACCCCCTGCTGGGAAAGATGCTCAACAAAAAAGCGCATTGGTCCATTCGTTCGATGAGCGTTTGACTAACCAAAAAAATTGTTTGCAAACTAATCAGTGCGTAGGTTCTTGGGCATTGCCCGTCGACCCCTCCCAGTCACCCAATGTCTTGCCTCAAGTAAGAAGTCAGTTGACCAATTTCAACTGGCATTCTATTCATGAACTTAGTTGCTATGAACATTGATACTTTTGAAAAACGGTTACTTCAATGTAATTCCCTGTTGAGGCCGCTTTTAACAACAGATTGTGGGGCGTTTCGCTAGTTTTTTTTACGTGTTGCATTGTCTTCGTCTGAATATTTCGCCCCGTGTGAGGAGTCGAGATTCCGGATTACGGAATAGAAAGAAAATTCTTGCTTGTGGAATCCGGAATCCGGGAAAATTTTCTTGTGGAATCCGAAATCCTTAGGCTTTGGAATCCGGAATACAGCTCAAGGAATCCCGATTCCAATCGTTAGTGGGATCCAGATTCCTTAAGTTGTATTCCGAATTGTTCCACTTACAAACAATATGGAGTTAGCGACCCAGCTCTCCAATGGTTTCATTAGGAGGCAGAGTTTGCGAGTAGCGCTTTCTACTAATGACGTCACAAATTTCTGGTCCCTGCTGTCACTCAGACATTAAACCTGACCAGTGTAAGAGTTTAGTATGGGAAAGTCACGTCCTACAACAAATTTTCGTCGTCTTTGAAGATGTTTATCGTTAAAGGAAACAAAATCCAGCCTGGTTTCGATAATAAATATCCTGAAAATAATCAACGTTTGCCAAGGCAGCGCTAAAAGTGGAAAAAACTGTACAGATGAGTGGTTTTATTTCTTGCATAATGCTGTGGGTAAAATTATGTTAAAATGTGTGGAGAGCAGGGCTTCATAGCTGTGCGTGAAAAGGTGCATTTGGTTAAATTTATAGGCAAAGGTTGCTCAATTTTTTTTTTCGAGTGCTTGTGTTACGCTACTTAGTACTACAGGATATAAAGTACTAAAGTATTCGTCCCGGATTCATATGGTCTACCTGGCCGCAAAACAATAGAACAAACTCATACAATTTCCGGTTTGTGCTAATATTGGTGTGCTTTTAACCTTAGATATTCTGTCACAGGCTTGCGAGAAGCACATCGATCCAAACTCGATTTTCTCTTTAGCAATTTCGGTTTTGGAGTATTACACAGCCAAGACCGTCGGTTGCATCTAAGTGTGGACACGAGGCCAAAAAACGTGTTGTAATAGGGTTCCAGACATGACGTGTTTTGTCGCCAAACATTTGAAGTTTGACAGCCGTTAAAGCAAACTGTCACGCCAAAGGTAAGTTGTTTATTTGTTTTTGATCAGCGCGTTCCGCTCAAATTTCATTTTTCACAACTTTCAGTCACATTTCTCGCTCAGAAACAGCACACTTGCCTCCAAAAATTATTCTTAACGTCTAAAAATCTTGCAAGGACTGATTTTGTTGAGCAAAAACAAATCAAGTCGACAACAGCCGCTTACTCCAAACTTCGAACGTTTAGCGCCAAAACATGTCACTTTTGCACCCAATTAGAACACGTTTTTTCCTCACTTGTACACGCTTAGATGCAACCGACGGTAATGTTATGTCATGTTTCAGTGCCATAGCGGTGCTTTCTGCCTAAGACACATAGCTAGGGATCCGATTTCAGTAGCCTTCTCTGATCGAGTCGCTTTATTTTCTGACTTTAACCATTTAGTTGAGTTACTGGACCAGGTTTTGCTCCCAATAGCAGTAGCGCCTTTTATATATTGGAATTATGCTCAAAAAAACATTTTGAAAACGCTCACTGCGAATTTTATAAACAATTTTCATGTCGGAAACGTATGTTTCCCATACAAAGCCTTGGAGTAGAATGCAAAGTTTGTCTGAGTCACGCGGGGGGTCTAAGGTGACAAAACCTATTTTTAGTAATAGTAGAAAGCGCAATTTAAACGGATGTACATCTTCTCTTTTACCCATCAATCAAGGTATAGGTATCCCCCAAGGAACCATTATCGGACCTATACTCTTTCTTCTCTTCATTAATGGCATTCCATTACATATCTAGAAATCTAACATCGATATTTCTGCTGACGATGCTACGTTAACATCTTGCTCTAGGTTGAATAACATCCCTTTAGTGAACGAACAATAGCATTCAAGGGGACTACTTAATTAAAGAACAATCAGTGTAGGGCTGGATATGAGCAAAATGGTAATGAATAAAAAAGCGCTGAAACGAAGTCTAGGTTTTTCATCTGTACTATGATAGGTAAGACTAAGGCAACGAGGTAAATCGTCCCAACAAGAGACTGGCCGTGTGTGTAGTGCTGCAGTAGTAGATGGTGCTGTTATTATAATCAAGAGGAATGAAATTGCTTGTATAAAAAATCGCAAGGCATCAAACTGTACCGTATATCCAAGCGAAGGCGATCAACCAGTCTGGCCTGAGATACCATTTTTATAATAATTCCCAAATAAACCAAAATAGCAAAGAGTGTTTAAGTATTTGACCTCTGTTTGAATTAAGAATTCGATATTCAATTTTGACAGTTTTTCGTAAATTGAAATATATCGCTATCAAAACAAAAAATGGCTAAAAAAATGCGCGATTGGGGTCCTTTTTTGGTTTCCTTTATAACACAGCTTTTAGCTTTGCTTTTATGTTAACAGAGAAAATATTTCTTCTACACCGTCTCCTATTTATTCCATAATTAATAACCCCCAGGGGGGAGGGGAGGGGAGTGAAGGGGGGTACTCCCAATTATGGCCTTTACGGCCTATATTACCCCAAAAGGGGTGTAATGAAAAGGCAGGAATTTCACTACCTTACGAATATGAAAGGTTACAGGGAATTTTGTCATTTCGTTCTGTACTATGACCAAAAAGTGCTCTTAAGGATTTTATGGCGCTGTAAAAAAGTCGAGCAAATTTTCCTGTTCTGTGGTTTATTCATGAGGAAAGTGCATTTACAGCAGTTTAAAGAGGGAACGGCAAAGTTCCAAATTAGGTCTGTGAAAGGGGTACCATTTGTCAATGAAAAGTATACGAAAGGGGTACCTTTTCTGTTAAAAATGATATATAGAAGGGTAAGGGGTTGGACCTCGAAGGGGGGGCGAGGGGAGGGGGGGGGGGCTCCCCCCAAAAAAAGCTTTGTTAAGTATCCATCTCCCGGGCTTAACCATGCGAGCAGAGGTTTCTTTCCGGTACTGTCAGTCACGTAGTTTTTTGTTTGTTTACGCACCTGAGCAAACTACGCGACTAACAGGCAAAGCGTACGACTTTGTAATGCTAAACACCCGTGCCAGAAAAAAACCTCTGCTCGCAAGGTTTCCCTGCATACTTGAGTAGTAATTAATTAGAAATGATTTCTCGCTTTCGTTAAAGGGGCTACGTCAGGGGGTTATTATTATTATTATCATTTTGTTCTTTTAAAAAGGCATTAATCAGTGCTTTTGCCCGTTAACATAAAATTCTCCTATACAGTTGTGAAGAAGATAAATAAATAAAAAAAAAGAAGAAATTAATCAGGAAGAACGAAACGTAATATTTTGTTAGTAATTTAGTGATATTTAATTTTGATCAATGCGATGGCACGTTTTAGATTTTTTAAAAAATAAATATTCGCCCCGTCATTGGTTACTCCGGCTCCGGTTTCTTTAATATGAATAACATTTGAATACATTAAATTAAGGGGAGAGGTTTTAAAGTCGATACAAAAAATGCGAACCAGGTTGCAAAGTTCACAGTTCAATTTCAGTTTCTAAAAATTCGGCCTTGGCAAAATATACGTCAGTTATACAGAATGAACAAAGGAATGGTATCGCGTTTATTCCCATGCCCTGATATACATCAGCTAGCAAAAGTTTCAAAATTTTTTCCCCTTGATACGTTTTATTTCTGAACGCTGAAGTGCTAACAGCAGAATCGAAAATGTTTCTATAATTGTTCTTCTTGTTGCCTTTAATCATTTACTTGGTTGGTTCGATTGTTTTCTCCTTTTAAACAGAGTGCAGGAAAAGATGTACAGGCAGGGAGGAAAACCTACAGTAACGTCCTTAATAATATAAGCCGATACTGTTGCCTGGTTAGCTCAGTTGGGAGAGCGCCGGTCTGCCGAGCGGGAGGTCACGGGTTCAAACACCGACCGGACTAACACTCAGGGTCTTTAAATACCTGGGAAGAAAGTGCTTCCTTTGTAACGACATCTGCAAATGGTAATACTTTCTAGTCTTCTCGGATAAGGACGAAACACGGTAGGTTCCGTCTCACAGCACTTTCACTGATCTGTTCTTGTGGGACGTAAAAGAACCCACACCACTGTTCGAAAAGAGTAGGGGACGTACACTTCGGTGGTGTAGCCAAACTCTACGGGTTGTGAGATTGGGTAGGGATGGCACCTTGCATGGGACATATGAGTCCCGTTCGTGCCCATTCCCTATGGGCAGGCCGGTGTCCAGAAAAGCTGGTAAAAGTAAATAAAACTAAAAAAAAATCATGCCATGCATGACGCAGTGATTAACAGATCTAGAACTTGGCCTGATCCAGACCCTCCCAACTATGCAAGTTCGTTTACAAACGCAATTTTTATATTTGATATCGATGTTTAATCGGACAACAGAAAGTGAATTAACATCCAACTCCTCTACTTCTGGCCGTCTTGTTTGGTTATGCAGGCGGACCTTGAAGACAAGGACCTGGTTATTACCCTTTGAGACGATAATCTCTCCCTCCTTCCCAATACCTCAAGGAACCTACTTTTCATGGAACGATAGGACTTGCCGCAGACGTTGAAGAAGTAAATAAAAGGATTACAGACCGAGTTTGATATGCCCAGTCCATAGGTTATGAGTCACCGGATCCATAACGTTCGGAAATTCCCTGAGATGCTGCACCAGTAGCCCAAAGTAGAGAGCGAAAGGCAACCAGCAGACGACAAAGCAGATGACAACAATTACCAACACGCGAAGAACTCTTCTTCTGGACTTTTCCAGCAACTTGGCATTTGTGATTTTGGGACTGGATATGTCACCTGCAGACGCAGCAAGTCTACGACCCCTGGTCGATATCACTTTTATAATTTTGCGATATGATATAGTTAAGACTGCTAAAGGTATCACGAACCCAAGTAAGACTGAGGCAACGAGATAAATCGTTCCTTCAAGAGACTGGCCTTGCGTAGTACTGCAGTAGTAGATGGTGCTGTTATTATAATCAAGAGGAATGAAATTGCTTGTATAAAAAATCGGAAGGCATTGAACTGTACCGTATACCCAAGCAAAGACGATCAACCAGGCTGGCCTGAGATACCAAGGTCTATTGATGCACGTTAATTCCTGCTTTACAAATGTCATGTACCGATCAATACTTATTGCGGTCATCAGGCTGACTGAGATTATTGGATTGACGTACTACGGAAAAGGAATAGAATACACAATACTGAATATGTAGTTTTTCATAGTTTTCTATATTGTTTTATAGAGATAAATGGTTATAATTTGGAGAAACGAGGAGCCATATTGCAGAGAAATGTCACACAGACATTTATATATTTCGTATAGCCTCAAATTAAAATTACACTCACATGTATTCGCAAGCGGAAAAGAATCCGGATTCTTTGGAATAATTGTTTACACGTCAAATTTGAAAATTGCAGTTTGAGTCTATTAACATTTTTTTCTTTTAAAGAATTCGGTTTCAAATTCTCTACATAACTATCCACTGCAGTTAAACCGGGACGTTTTCACCCATCTATCCATCGATTCGCTCCGTAGTTCCTTATGTCGTCACCTGCGTAGTACATACACTGAATCAAACAACCACACAAACCCCAAATCATGGCGCTCTTGGACCATTTTGCTGCCGCGAGAACAAGTTCAAGCCCTTTGCAAACGGACTCAACATTGTTGGCCAGCAACTCCTAATGTTGGGAGTTGTTGGCCAACGATGTTGAGTCCGTTTTCACATAACTTAAAGTCTGACCGGTTTCAAACCTTGCGCAACAAGTCCCAACAACACGCAACAACATGCAACAGGGTGTGCAAAAGCAAGTAACATGCATCCAAACAATGCTGGGAGTTCTTGACCAACAATTCTACGTACGTTTGCATGGGGCTTTAGTATATCTGTCTTCATTGAAAGATTTTAAAAATTTATTTGGCCCTAAAAAAATTATTTTTACGTCTATTAATGCAACTAGGTCCTCTGAAATTGCCACCTGAATCTACTTAAAGCCCAGTCCAAACGAACAAAACATTGTTGGCCAACCACTCCCAACATTGTTGGATGCTGAGTCCGTTTGCACACCTTGTTGCATATTGTTCGCGGCTTGTTGTTTGGAGTTGTTGAATTTCGCAAAGTTTGAGACCGGTCCAACTTTAGGGTAAACAATGTTGGGAGTTGTTACGTCGGTTTGCACGAAGCTTATCATTAGAATTATTTTACCTGCATAAATCGCGCTAACTTGCATAAACCATAGTCTCTTCTGGTCATGTCTTTGGGGTAGTAAAAATTTGTGAAGATGGTTAGGGGAATGCACAGCAAACACACCATCAGATCGGAGACGGCCAAGTTAAGGAGAAAAAGCTGAACAGATGTTTTCTGACCTCGCCGGCGCAAGTTTGAGATTACTGCTACCACGATTCCATTGCCAAGAAGTCCAATGATCAAGATTAACCCTGTTGAAACATTATGTTGCGTTTGCATTTATTTATTTATTTTTTTAGGGAAACGTGCTGTCTCCCAAGGCGTATTTGTGACTGAAGATATGATTTGGGCAAGATTATCAAGTTTTCGAGTTAATTTTTACAAAGTTTATCGTATCATTTATTGTTAGGTTAACCGGTAATTTAAAGCCCCGTGAACAAAAGGTCATGAAAGGACGGTTAATCTCAAGAATCTTAAATTGTTAAAAAAAATCTATCGAGCGGATTAAAAATTATTCGCTAATTTATATTTTTTTCAATTACATCACCGAAACATTTACAAAACCGCTAACACGAGCTCCTCGATTCATATTAATCAAATCCCTCTTTCTAGAAATCGGCTGAAGGTATCTCCATGATCTTTCGCATACGTTTTTAAAAAGATTGAAACTACTATCAGGTGAAAATGCATGCCGAGAGCGCTTCGTTTTCTACAGATAACAGCCGAACATCAAGATCGTCCACTTTTTACCTTATTTCTAACATAAATATCTTGATAACGCTCTAACAGATTCCGCTTAAGCTTCACCGAACATCCAGAGGCGGCTATTAGAGGAAGAAGCTACCGTGAACGATTTTGGACGAACAGTTCCTGCAAGTAAATAGGTGATGGCGTCATTTCGTTGCTATGACAACTCCGATGTCATTGTAACCCTGATCATAACAAATTCCCATCTTTATCTAATACAACGGTGGCGGCATATTTTTCCAAATCTTTGTTTATGGCGACGTTGTTTATGCTCAAACTTGGAGGTATTGACTCTGAAAAACTGTATCTAGCCACCTTAACACCAAGGAGTTAAAATTTTACATCACAATAACCTCGATTCAGATTGGTTTTTATGCAAAACGATTGATGGTGGATGGTTCCAGTTTCTTCTTAATTATTAACGACGTCATTACTACGTCAATTCCATTGTTTAAGACCATGAATGTGTTAAACCGCTTCATGATTTTATCGACAAGTTCCTATTTCAGCACATACAATGCTTTTCGCTTTGTAGATATTTTCGGGAAAGAATGGTGAAGTATATGGGTTCAGCGATAAGCAAACATGGCTTCATAATGATGTCAAATTTCGTCATGGTATCAATCAATTATACCGAGACGTTAACAATGATGGACAATACTGTGTTAAGCTTGTGGCCGCATCTCTCCCCTGAGGAGCGGTTTTAAAATTTAAGAGAAGGGCCTTAAAGGGCCCCACTGACTGTTAGGACGCCGCGCCTAATAAATGCCTGGGCTCCATTACCAGCCGCTGTTCGGGATATGATACTGCGCTCCTCAAGTGAAGAAATTCTCTTCTCGGGGAAGAAGAAAACCGGAGCCGAGAGGGCAAGGGAAATCGAGTCCAATAAATGCCCGGCCTGAATAGGGTTAATTAGTTCCAAAATAGATTTGTTTTAGTCTGTTGTACATATGTTATACTCGACAAGATTTCTTTGGTAAATCGCAATTATTTTGGATCCTCGAAATACTGCCTTTCTTCATTTCGCTAATAAATATATTCCTCAAAGGGCAGTATTAATAGAACATTCCGATTATAACAAGAATTAAGAACAGACGTGATCAGAATTAAGATCAGACGTGACCCAAAAGCTTCTAACGAGTGTCTAAAGTAGATTATTAACGTTTAGCCTAAACAGTTGAGAGTATCTTTGTTAATTAAAGCTCATTTTTTTTGGTAGAAGTTGACATGTACATTTCTGAAAAGGATTTCTAAGGTTTCGTTACTTTTAAAAAGAGAAAAACTATCTCCACTTGTTGCTTTTATTTAAGAACATCCAACGATCCTTTACTATGCATTCTAATGATTTTTTAATAAAAAATAATGCTAAAGTGACTCTAATTTGTTATGCAAAACATATGGTCCCGCTCAATAGGCGTTATAACGGTTTTGACGAGTAGGCAACCGCGTGAGAAATTACAGTGTTTGTATGAGAATCTAATGTCCAAAAATCTTCGTAAAACGGCTGTTCTGAAAAAAATATGAATTGCAAAATAAATTTTCACTCCTAACGATTCTTCTGAAAAAAATTGAAGTCGTTGCATGCAGCTATATGCCTTAGAACCACTTTTTAAAATTTTTTATACATTTGCCTGTAAACGTTTCCCGGGAAAAAATTGCAGACAAATATGTGGAAAATCTGAAGCAAGCGTCTGAAGAAAATTAAGCACAGTAACGGCCCCCAATATTTGACAGTAAAATCCTTTGCTGTGTAGCTTTAGTTTACAGTTCATATTTTTTTTTCAGAATAGCCGTTTCACCGAAATTATTCGACATTAGATTCTCATACAAACACTGTAATTTCTCACGCGGTTGCCTACTCGTCAAGATGGCGTCGAAAACCGTGATAAGACCTATTTTGTTATTTCAGTTGTTTTTAAAGATTAAAAGTCTTCATTTCGTCAACAAGATTTCGACAAAAAGGAGGCCAAAAAGAACTTCATTTGCCAACTCCAACACTAAAGTAAATCGGTACCCTGTGAACCCAGACGCTTCATTTAACAACTAATTTCATCGTAATTGAAAACATTTGAATTTCGAATTTTGAATTTTAACGCTTCTATCAAAAGGTATGCAAACAATATATTAAGTAAAGGCGAAAACGTTGGGTTTAATACCCGTATAATGTACATATGTCACTTACCTAACAATGTCACAGCTATAACGAACTCTTTACTTTGAATGTTCCATAGTTCGTTGAATAGATGGCTTTCTTTCGTGTGATTCACTTTCTCATGAGACATCGCTTGTAGACTTTTTTTTGTAAGCAAAATTAAACTTAGGGCGTGAAAGTATCGGTTTCCGCTGGAAGCTATTCGACGTGTACGTGTCTCTCAATGAAATGACCCTGCGTTGTTTTGCACAAAACATTTTAAGGAACAACAAATTGACATCGACTTCCTCAACTGGTTCGACGTTATTTTTAGACGGAACAATTCAACAGAACACGTTTTAGGCTGTTTATCTAAGGTTTAAATTAAAAGTACCCACGGGGTTTACGTCAATAGGGAGCTTATATAATAAGCAACTACGATGGTGACATAACAGGTAGCCCAAGCTCGAAATATACATAAAAACCCATAAAACAGCCATAAATCGCAAACATTAACCACAAGGGACTGCAAAGGACCGCAGACACGACACCGAAAGAACTCAAAACAGAGCGGGATTGTAGCCATAGACAGCTGTTTCGCCCTCTTTGGGACTCGTCAGTATGGCGTAACAACCAAAGATCAGGCTCTGATGAAAAAATATCCGCGCACTCTGGTTTTAGCCCTGACCGAGAACTCCTAACACCCACAGAATCACGTCATACCACGTGTCTTCTGGGGGGCAAGAGACCAAGTGTCAAGTCGATGTCTCGCAGAGAAAATAAAGAGTTGACCAAAACCAACCTAAACAACATTGACAAAACCATGCAAAAATTACAGTATATCGGATCTATAAAAGATCTACGGCCCCCTAAGTGAGAAGTAAGTGTTAAAGGGGCTATGTCACCTGTGGCGCATGCGCTAGCTAGTGAAAACAAACTTGAAAAAGACGGCCCGTCTTTTTCAAGTTCTGTCGGAGATTTCGGAAGGCTGCTTTTAGCTGTTGAAATTTCTGCCATCGTTTGATAGTTAGCGAAGCTTTGAACTAAGAATCGTTCTATGGTGATTACAGAAGAATATTTGTGCCTTTTTTTAAAATTGTTCGTCCTTGGATTTTTTTAACGTGGATTTACAATGTCCTCTTACAATTGCCTTACCAGAGGCCGTTGAATTAGCAGAGAATTAACGACGGCTACTCCACGATGAGTGATAGAATCTTAAATGGAATCTTCCTTATAGTTCACAGAAACTTTCTGTTGAGTCATTTTAGAGGCTGCTGGGTCTTGAATTTTTTTTTGCGTGTGTGTGTTCAAAGTATGTTGACATGAAGCGGCTATCGAGGCGCTTCCAGGCGGATGTTTTCATTAAACGAGGCTACAGCGTGGCCATGAGTTTTGAGACGAAACTAATCTTCTGGCGAAGGAAATGTTATACAATTCGGCTAGATTCCTTCTTGTATTTATCTTCATTCACGACAACGATAAAAAACGACCGTTTACTCGTCCAGCTTGTTCTCAACGGACTCAGATAGCAACGGACCAGTACGAGTTAGAGTCTGTGGTGGTCATGTTTATGAACTCTTTGTGTTTGAGCATATTTTGGAAAAATAGCAGAGTTTATTTTCCCACAGTCATGGTCTTTACCTTTGGTCTAAAGTTTTGTAGGTCGTTTCTTAAATAAGACTGATTTATTTTGTTGACTACGACAATATGTTGGTGAATTTTTGTTTGCGCTATATTTTTATGAATGGCACGCGTTTTTACCTCAAAACTACAAGTAAAATTGTCTTACCACTTTTATTCTCGACGAAGAATTTGAGTGAACTCTTTCTAGCATAACCAGAAAGGAAACGTTCCGTAAATTCTATCAAAAGATCAGTTATCCAAACTTGTAAACGTCTCATTAAACATTTCGGAGCTTTGGACGTGACAGGAAGTCACGCATTAAAAAC